GCAAGGGAAACAAAAGCAAAAATGAACAAGTGGGACTATATCAAGCTGAAAAGCTTCTGTACAGCAAAGGACACCATCAATAGAACAAAAAGGTATCCTGCAGTATGGGAGAATATATTCATAAATGACAGATCTGATAAAGGTTGACATCCAAAATATATAAAAAGCTCAGACACCTCAACCAACAAAAAGCAAATAATCCAATTAAAAAATGGGCTGAGGAGCTGCATAGACAGTTCTCTAAAGAGGAAATTCAGATGGCCAGCAGACACATGAAAAGATGCTCCACATCGCTTGTCATCAGAGAAATGCAAATTAAAACCACAATGAGATATCACCTCACACCAGTAAGGATCGACACCATCCAAAAGACATACAACAACAAATGTTGGTGAGGTTGTGGAGAAAGGGGAATCCTCCTACACTGTTGGTGGGAATTTAAAATAGTTCAATTGTCATGGAAAGCAGTATGGAGGTTTCTCAAAATGCTTAAAATAGAAATACCATTTGACCCAGGAATTCCACTTCTAGGAATTTACCCTAAGAATCCAGCAGCCCAGTTTGAAAAAGACAGATGCAGCCCTATGTTTATCGCAGTACTATTTACAATAGCCAAGAAGTGGAAGCAACCTAAATGTCCATCGGTAGATGAATGGATAAAGAAGATGTGGTACATATACACAATGGAATATTATTTAGCCATAAGAAGAAAACAAATCCTACCATTTGCAACATCATGGGTGGAGCTAGAGGGTATTATGCTCAGTGAAATAAGCCAGGCGGAGAAAGACAAGTACCAAATGATTTCACTCATATGTGGAGTATAAGAACAAAGAAAAACTGAAAGAACGAAACAGCAGCAGACTCACAGAACCCAAGAATGGACTAACAGTTACCAACGGGAATGGAACTAGGGTGGATGGGTAGGAAGGGAGGGATAAAGACGGGAAGAAGAAAGGGAGTATTATGATTAGCATGTATAATTAGCATGTAGGGGGGACATGGGGAGGGCTGTGCAACACAGTAAAGACAAGTAGTGATTCTTCAGCATTTTACTATGCTGATGGACCGTGACTGTGAAGGGGTATGTGCGTGGGACTTGGTGAAGGGGGGAGCCTAGTAAATATAATGTTCTTCATGTAATTGTAGATTAATGATACCAAAATTTTAAAAAAATGCATAGGAAGAATCTGAAAAAGAACTAGTCCAAAGCATCGATGAAGTGGATGGCATGGGGTGGGTTTGAATTTTCTTTGTCTTCTGTATTGTCCAAGTGTTTCATTAAGCATGAATTAGCTTCATAATTGGAAGAAAAAAATGAGCTTTATTTTTGGACTTTGCAGAAATTAGGAAGTCCTGGCAAGGGAGCCCTGAGCCTTGGATTGGTGGGTGTTTCTCAGAAGGCTCCATGCCTCTGCCTTTTCTCCTCTGAGCAGGATCCCAGTAATGGCGCTCAGGCTGGGGGCAGGGGCAGGGTGCTGTCCTGTTTGGGCCCAAGTCTGTGGGAAGCTGGGCTCCCGCAGGGCTGGTCCGAGTGGCAGAGGGACACTGTCACGGGGTCTGTAATTGCTGTGGGCTTGCCATCGCTGGGCAGTGTCCAGACCACCGTGCAGTCCCCTCCCTGTGGCTTAGTTCTTGGGCCTGGAAGGGAGTTTTGGTCTCAGTCCTGTAGAGGCATCTTGGCAAGGGTTCAGGTTCTTCAGGAAAACAGCAAGAAGGATCATTATTTATCATAAAAAAGTTTGTTTGGAGGGGACAGTGAAGGATTCCCCCATGGGAGCATAAAAGCAGTGAGATGAACTTTTAAAACAAAAATGGGGTTGTACCACAGTACTGTTGAGAATCAATATTCTCTTTTCATAATCTGCCTGGATCAGCTTTCCCAATTAGTACCCAAAAAAACCCTGGTTCTCAAGAAGTTTTTGAAAGTTTGAGGGGATTTTTAAATTATTTTATTTATTTATTTATTTGTTTACTTTTTTGATATCATTAATCTACAATTACACAAAGAACATTATGTTTACTAGGCTCCCCCCTTCACCAAGTCTCCCCCCCCACACATCCCATTACAGGCACTGTCCATCAGCATAGTAAGATGCTATAGAATGACTATTTGTCTTCACTGTGTTGCACAGCCCTCCCCATGCCCCCCCCCACATGCTAATTATACATGCTAATCATAATACCCTCTTTCTTTTTCCCCGTCTTTATCCCTCCCTTCCTACCCATCCACCCTAGTCCCATTCCCTTTGGTAACTGTTAGTCCATTCTTGGGTTCTGTGAGTCTGCTGCTGTTTTGTTCTTTCAGTTTTTCTTTGTTCTTATACTCCACATATGAGTGAAATCATTTGGTACTTGTCTTTCTCCGCCTGGCTTATTTCACTGAGCATAATACCCTCTAGCTCCATCCATGTTGTTGCAAATGGTAGGATTTGTTTTCTTCTTATGGCTGAATAATATTCCATTGTGTATATGTACCACATCTTCCTTATCCATTCATCTAGTGACACTTAGGTTGCTTCCATTTCTTGGCTATTGTAAATAGTGCTGCGATAAACATAGGGGTGCATCTATCTTTTTCAAACTGGGCTGCTGCTTCGGCGGGGGGGGGATATTTTTGGTCATCACAACAAAGGAGGACATGACAGTCATTTAGTGGGTGGAGGGCAGGGAGGCTGTCACCCTGAAATGGGTGAGATGGTTCTACACAATGCACTTCCCTGCAACCCCAGGACTTTGAAATGTCTCATGCAAATCTTTTCATAATTATCTGCCCCCAGAACTTAGTGCTGTGTGGATGTAAAGGCAACATAGCTTTGTGTGACTTCATATCCTCTGAGTTTAGAATGATTCTGTTGTGATTTTTATTTTGGGCAGTAAAACCGGGTGTACTTATGATTTATCCACTGTTTATAGGAAGGCAGCATTGGCTTTTATAGTAAGGGTCCAGAATTCCCACTATAGAGTAAGCAGTCTTTTGGAAGGGCTGTTTTGTGTTTTATATGGATATAATCAAAGTCTATTTAACTAGTCCCCAGAGGTGGACATTTGGGTTGAATTCAGTTTCACATGATCACAGTAATGCCTCTTGTACATATATGCCTGCACATTTGTGATTGTATTTCTGTAGGATACATTTCCAGATGTAGAATTGCTGGATCCAAATAAAGGAATATGTATTTTTCACTTTAGTTCATTGCCAGATTGCCTTTGGAATATATTGTTTATACCCATTGACCTTATGTGAGAGCACCTGCTTCCCCATATGCTGACCAGCACTAGCTATCAGCAACCATTAAAATGTTTGCCAATCTGAATGACAGGCTATGGGGGAATGATACCTTATTTTTGTTCTCAGCTTCTTGATTACAAGGGAAGTGTTGTGTGTTTTCCTATGGATATTATGTATCTTCTTTGGTTTTATAGTTAAGATGTGTTACTTCTGCCCATGGAGAGGCAGTGCCCATGTGAAAGCAAATAGGATCTTTTGGGAACTTTGTTCCAGAAAGGATAATAGCTGGGAGTATTTCTCTCTCACTGATGCTGTCTGCCTCCCCAGAGGTGGGAAACACCTGGGCAGTCTCAGGGTGGGAGGAGGCTGGGCAGCACTCCCAGTAGCCCCTGCTCTAACATTCTCCTTTGCCTCTGCAGGAAGCCTGGAAGCATGCGATTGAGAAGGCCAAGCACATGCCCGACCCCTGGGCTGAGTTCCACCTAGAGGACGTTGCCACAGAATGTGCCACCCGTCACAGGTCAGCAGCTTGTCTGGGGATTACTGTATGGTCCCTGGCTTCAAAGAGTCCTTGGGAGTATGGGTTCTGCTTCTGCTCATGATCAGTTGGAGCCGAAGTACCCTTGGAGGTCAAAGAGAAGGGAATAATAGTATCAGCCAATATTTGAGTGTTTATGCCTGTGAAGGCATGGCGCATTATCTCATGTCGTCCTTAGAGTGGTCCACTAAGGTATGTATTTGACAGGTGAGGCTGAGCTGTACTGCAGTAACAAGTACCCCTGGGGCTTAATGCAGCAAAGGTGTACTTGCCACTTGGATGAAGCTGAGCGTGAGTTCACCCTTCAGGACAACTCAGGGACCCAGGATGCTTCCACCTTGTAGTTCCTTCATCTCAGCACACAACCCCCACAACGGCTACCAAAGGGACAGAGAGCACATGGAGGTGGCACACCAGCTTCTCAGGGCTGTGGCGCTGGGAAAAATCACAAAATGGAGCTGGGGGTGTTTAGATTTCTTATTGGAAAAAGCAAGGGAAGGAAGAGTGTTTTCAGGGGGTTTCAGGAAGAAGGATGAAAGGCAACAGCAAAACTCATGAACCACCCCCGGGAGATAATCAGCACAATACCTGTGACAACGATGATACAACCCTTATTTAGTGAATCCCCTCTGTGCCACGCACTGACTTCAGCGCTCTGTATGTATTTATTCACTTAAAAAAGCCTGCGGTAGGAATCACATCAAGCATTTGGAACCCCTTTGAGAATCTCATGAGCCCATCTCAGAAAGTTGCACCATGTCTAGTTTTGCTCATAATTTTAGTGGACTTGTGGACCTGCCCTGGAGCCTGCCCCCTCCCCATCCTGTGACTTCTGTAGACCCCTCCAGCTCTGAATCCTCTAGGCTGATCCTTGCAGCTCCTGTAATTGCCCAAGGGGGGAGAGAGGTTTAATAAGCTAAACTTCTGACTCTCACTATCGACTTTGAGTCAGCCAGTACTCTTTCAAATGCAAGTAACAGAAACCCAGTTCACAGAGGCTGAAGCATAGAACAGAATGTTTGTCTCATGTGAGTAGGCTTCAGGCATGGCTTGTTCCAGAGGCTTTTTGGCTTTGACCTCAGATAAGCTGTCTTATATCAGTGACACAGATTTTAATTCACCCAGCGAAAGAGTATTTTTTCTTTCTAAACATTTTTTAAGCAGAAGTTCCGTATTTGAATCTCATTGGCCTGGCTTTAGTTAAATGCCCATCTCTGAACCAGTCATTTTGCCAAGGAGCTTTGCCTAGATCACATGCCACAAGCCAGCAGGTGCTGGGGGTTCAGCCCCACCCAGTCCACATACTCTGAGAATGGAGGATAGTTTTTCCCCAAAGCAATATTGGGGGGTGCTATTACTAGAGGAAGTCGGGGGTGGGTAGGCAGAAACGCTGGAGCTCTCTCCTCTTTGTGCAGCATGTTCCTGCACCCACTTTGTGGGAAGATGACTTCCAACCTGGTGTGCACCCCCTCCACACTGGAGGCCCACCTCCTAGGCAGGCTCTGGGGTCTGTGCCGGTCAGTGTTGTGGGGGCCCCAGCAGGGCAGGGTATGGACTGTGTTCCCTCCTGCCTATAAGAGCAGTGTGGTGGTTGGGATCGCCAGGCAACACAGGAGGTTCCTGGGAGAGCAGGACCTACATGCTGAGCTGGTTCTGTGTGTCCTGGAGCTCTGGGTGGGGGAGCTGGAGGCCAGGGGCCAGGTCGAACTGTATTTATTTCCTGACAGAAGTGGCTGACTTCACCTCCCTGGCTGCTAGAGGAGAGAGGTCAGGTGTTGATGGCTAGAATCTCCAGAGACTTCTAAATTGGAGGCTTCCTCCTCCATTCCTGGTTTTTAAAGAAGGCTGGTGTAAGCTGGCCCTTTATTGGAACAGATTTCCTGTTCATATGGGCTGTGCCCAGGCTGGTTACAAGCTGGCTGCAGTTGAAACCTGGTTCTCGGTTTGAATTCCTGCCTCTGGGCAAGTTACTTCACCTCTCTGAGCCTCAGTTTCCACACTGGGGAAAGCAGACACCATGATTGTACCCATCTCGTAGGGCTGCTGCTGTGTTGATAGAAGAGATCCATTTAAGGATGCAGCATATAGTGAAAGCTCAGTGACCTTTGAGCACCTCTGATCTTTTTGGTATTAGTGGTCATGAAGGGCAAGTGAGCTCCTTCCAATGTCACCTGTCTGCCTGTCCCCCCAGTTTGGGTGCCTCTCAGCTTGCAGCTGCTTTTGGAAGCAAGGGAAGACTGTTTTCTTTTCCCTGGTCTCTGCATAATAATAATAATAATTGTTGCTGTTATTTATTGAGCACAGTACTTGGCATGGGCTGGTTGCAAGCAAGTTTGTAGCTTTGGCGAGACTTCCTGGCTCCAGGCCTGGGGCAGGTGACCTGCCAGGCGTCTGCTTGTTTGCTTCATAGAGGTTTCAGGCTCTGAGAAGTTCTCACCAGAGCTGGGAACCTTCTGGAATTTTCCCTGCTAAGAGGGAGGCCTCTGCTAGAGCTAAGAACAACTCAGCCCTCGGGGAGGTTTTAGATGTAGGGATTCACCAAGCTGAGGAGCTTTCTACTAGGCAACCCTGTTTGAGGCCCAGCCAGGCCAAGGGGCAGATTTGCTCTGGAAGAGAGGATTCCTGGGAAAGGAGAGACGGGAGTGGTCTGAACCCTCTTCCTCTCTGCCTTGGGCGTGCAGCCAGCAGCCCCTCTCCTGGCTGGACTTAGAGGCAGGAGCTTTGCCAACCCCTGCCTGTTCTGGGACATCCACCTGACTACCTGGGCCAGGCTCCCCAAAGGTGCCTGGCACGATCAAGTGTACTGCCTCCTTCCATTCCTGGGACATGCCACATATTAGGGAGACTGGTTATAATAAGGCTATTTATTTATTCAGTCTTTGTCCAACATGCATTTATTAAGCATCCACACACCACAGGCCTTGAAGTGAACAGTCAGAAATGGGCCTGGCTTTGTGGAGTTACCGTCCAGAGGGGGAACCAGATGGGGTGCAAGCCCACCCACGGTGCAGGAGGAAGTGCTGGGAGCATGGAGAGGGAACAGCTGTGTCTGAAGAAAGGGAAGGAGGCCACTGGGTTGGGGCCTGGCCAGGAGGGAGAGTGTCCATAGACCCAGCCCAGGAGCTGTCCACTGGGTCTGTGTGTGCACAGTGGCTCGATCCTGAGGGCTGCAGGGAGCCCAGAAAGGTCTGCCGCCTTTACCTAGTGAGTGACAGGATCATGTTAAGGACACTGTGCCCTGGGGGTTTCTGGTTTCTGCAGGTACAATGCTGTCACTGGAGAGTGGCTGGAAGATGAAGTTCTGATCAAGGTGGCATCTCAGGTGAGCAGTCTGCAGCCCAGCGGGGACAGGGCTGAGAGGGTTTTTTCTAGAGCAGACATTGGTCCTTGCTCTCTCCTTTCTACACTCACTTTTTTTTTTTAACTTTGAGGATTCTTTATATTATTGTATATTTTATTTTTTATACCAGTTTTACCAGTTTTCATGAGATACAATTCCCACATCATACAGCCCATGTGAAGCACACAGCTCAGTGGTTTTTAGCATAATCACAGCCACCATGACTGATTCCAGAACATTTTACCATCTCCAAAAGAAACCCTGCACGAACCCATTAGCGGTCATTCCCACATCCCTCCTCTCCCCCCAGCCTTAGACAACCACGAATCTACCTTCTGTCTCTGGAGATTTACCTATTCTGGACATTTCAAATGTGAATCATGAATCATATATCAAAAGATTCTCAGTACTCTTGTCAGAAACCAGTGGACGGTAAATATGTATACGACTTTTCCAGAATTGCGGGTCACCGCCTATTACTAAGTTGTAAAATGACTTCAGTGGCTTGTAACCAGCCTTTTGAAAAAAATAAATAGACCAGAAAATAGGGTACCTCCTGCATGATCAGGGGAAGGATTGTTTAATGAAACTCTTTTTAGTGTGTCACACACTCAGTAAGGTGTACAGCCTGATACATTTCATCAAGCGAACGCACCGTGTCAGCCAGCAAGCACCCAGACCAAGACACAGAACACCACCAGCACCCCCAAAGCCTGTCTCCACCCGATGCTCGCCTTTGCGCAAGGATAAGCACCACCCGGAATCCTATCACCCTCAATGAGTTTTGCCTCTTTGGGTTCTTCCTATAAATGAAGCCATACAGCATGTATGGTTTTGAGTATGGCTTCTTCCACTCAACATTTTGTCTGTGAGGTTTGTACACATTTTTGCCAGAACTATACTTTGTTTCTTCCCATTGCTGTATTGGAGCCCTTCAAATGAGTAGACCTCATGGATTTATCCATTGTTGATGGTTTTGGTTGTTCCTGCTTTTGTTCTATTACAGAAAGGGCTGTGCACACATCCTTTGACACGTACTGTGTCCCCCCACCCTGTTGCCCCTGTCACATCTTACCCCCTGGGGTGTTGTCCACTCAGCTAGTGTAGGGGAATGGGGTGGTCTCATCATCCCTGAAGGCTCTAGGCTGGAAGTTCTATCAGGCCTTGGTATAGGGGTTTTAGGATTGAGATGGGGTCCAGGGCACCCGCTTGATGGCTGCTGTCCCAGGTCTCCTGACTCACGGTTGCTTCTGGGTGGGGCATGGGGCCTGCTGACTGTCTGTGTGGCGTCTCTTTCAGCCCTTCGGCCGTGGAGCCATGAGGGAGTGCTTCCGCACGTAAGTGACCGCCTGGTCCTCAGGGCCCTGCCTGGGCTCCTTCAGTCTCCCGAGAGCAGTGACGTTGTGGCATTTCGGGCCAAAAAACAGAGGCAGCGGCCCCCTCTGCCTTAGCCCAGACATGCCCACCTGGTCTCCCTCGGACAGTACTGCTGAGAGGGGCTCAGGGTGAACAGGGAGCATCCCACTAATCTCTCAGAGACCAACAGAGACGGCATAGGACCTTTGACCCTTAAGCCTCCTTCCCAGCTCTTCAAAGAATGCAGTGGGGTGGGATCTCCCTGTCCTGAGGACCCAAGGCTGGGTCCCTGGTAAACCCAAATGCCCAGATGGCCCCCTGCGCCTCTCCTGTCAGGAAGAAGCTCTCCAACTTCCTACACACCCAGCAGTGGAAGGGGGCCTCCAACTATGTGGCAAAGCGCTACATTGAGTCTGTGGACAGGGATGTGTACTTTGAAGACGTGCGTCTGCAAATGGAGGCCAAGCTCTGGGGAGAGGAGTATAATCGGCACAAGCCCCCCAAGCAGGTGTGTGACACCCCTCCCTGGCCACCTTCCCACACCAGGGCAGCGGGTGATGGTCTGGAGAGGGGCAGTGTAGTGCTGGTCACAGGTGCCCCTCCTCACGCTCTTAACAGCAGCTAACGACAGCCATCCTTCACTGAGCCAGCGGGCCGCGTACTCTCTGTACAAGGAATTGTTTATCCTTAAAAACAGAACTCAGGTTATTTGAGGTTGGAAAGTTTTTATTGCGTTTATAGATGGGATCTATTAGTCAGCATTTTTGCTTGTATATGACAGAAACTCACTCAAATGGGCTTAACCAAAAAGGGAAGTAGTGCCACATGTGACCAAGAAATACTGCTGGCCACAGGCATGGCTGGGTCCAGGGCCACCCTGAGGTAGTTGGGAATTTTCCTCCAGCCCTAACCTTGTGTTTGCCTCACTCTCAGGCAGGTTCTTGCTTGGAATGGCATGTGGGCCACCAGCGGCTACAGGCTCGCTTTCTCCCTTCTCAACAGCCCTTTTTTCCCAGAAGTTCCAGTAGAAGTCTCAGAACTGGGTTTCTTTGGCTCTGATGAGGTCAGGTGCCTATACTGCTGAACCGAATCCAGTGGTGGGGTAGGGGAGTATGCAGCCTGGGCAGGCCTGACCCCTGCACTCACCCTGAGAGCCAGGAATATGGCTCCTCCCACCCAGACTACGCAGGCTGAGAATTGTGACTCCCAAGAAAAGGCAGGAGAAGGAGAGGGGAATGCATACCTGTCTGCCCCTGGGAAGCCCAGGGCTCCACGGCGTTAAGTGACCTGCCCAGATACGCAGGATGGAGCCAGGACTCAGATTCAGGCTTTCCAAGCCTGTACCCTGTTGGCTTCTTCACTGCAACCCCCAGGGTGTTGAGTGGCCTCAGGCCAAGCAGAGTGTCCTGGTGCCTGCAGGCATTTGAGGGAACTGCTCTACACCTCTGCCTCTCCTGAATTCACAGCTCAGCCCTCCCCCCTCAAGGTATGATGAGGCAGGTCTCCTGGCTGCCCTGGAGAGCCACACTCTAGGCGCCCAGCAGGATTTAGTGAGTGCCTGCTGTTTGCAGGAGGTTTGATTAAGTGCACTTGGGGTAGATCATAGGAAGCCACAGCCCCCACCCTTAGGGCTGTGACCCCTTCAGTAATTTGCTGCACTCCATCCTGGCCTCCATTTTATTCCTCCCGAAGCTTGTTCCTGCCTCAGGACCTTTGCACTGGCTGTGCCCCCCACCCACCACCCACCCCGGCCTGCATTACTTACCTCCTGCATTTTTGCTTGGGGAGCTCCTTCTCTCAGTCCGGGTCTCAGCTCATATGTCACCTGCTCAGCAAGGCCACCCCAGGACATTCTAAATGAAGTAGCCCTTTGCTGTCATCACCCTCTGTCAGAAGTCATTCTGTTCTGGTTTCTGTTTTTTGGAGCAATAAGTACTGTTGTGTACGTAGTTAGTATTTTGATTGCCTCTCTCCTCTGAGGGTGTGGGTTTTGACTGTCTTGTACCCAGAGGGTGCTCAAATAGCTTGAGGGCTGAGCAGTGCAGTTAGTCAGGACAGAGGTGTAGAGCAGTTACCTCAAACACCTATAGGCACCAGTGTACTCTGCTTGGCCTCAAGCCACTCAGCACTGTCTCCCAGTGCCTGGGTGCTCAGCAAATAATGAGATTGGATTGATGGACAGAAAGGAGGTTGTTTGAGAAGGAGCTGGCTGTCCCCTCACCCAGTATGCCCTCCACCTTCTGGCCAAGCTGGTGGCTGACCCATGGGCTTCCTTGTAGGGATGGAGCCAGCATTTAGAGTGGGAGCCCGGAGAACAGCCACTCCTTCCCTTCAGGCCGGTTCTTGGAACTTGCTGAGTGTGTGGCGGCTCTCAGCTCAGCTCTGGGCCCCTTTGGCCTCTGCAGCTGTCATCTGCCTGCTTAGTGACTCAGCCACACAGCTCTGGGGTGGTGGTTTCCCTGGGAAACACAGCGCTGGCTCCTTCCGCAGTGGCTGGCATGGAGGAGGGCTGGTGCCTGGGCAGTCCTGTGTAAAGGTCTTTGCTACCCACTTTACAAACCATCCATGGTACTTGCACATTTCCTTCTGTGTACAAAATTAAGCACATACTTGGTAAAACAATTCAGTACGGAATGTCTAAGTTCTCCATAAGTCCCCAGTGCTGGGAGACAACCACTGTTTACAGCTTGGTGTCTGTTACACTAGAACTGTGTCTACTGACAATCATGTCAGCAAACACTGATGGACTCTTGTGCATCAATCAATGTCATGCTCACACCAAGATCTCTATTCCACAGATGAGGAAACTGAGGCCCAGACTGGTGAAATAACTTGCCCAGATTCGTGGATGGTGTTAGTGAAAGGCACGGGCAAAGCTGCAGACAGATCCACAAATGTGTGGGCTAATGAAAAAGTTTCTTTCTCATCTGATAGTCCCACTTTGGTGGGGGGCTCAGGGTGGGCTGGTGTCTTGCCTCCGTAAGTCATCCAGAGACCTGTTTCCTCTGCTGTGCTGCTCTTCCATCCCCCGGCGGTTGCCCTGGGTGCCTGGTCTGGCCCGCTGGCGATGTCCACATCACAGCCGCAGGAAGCCAGAGGAGGGGAGGGCAGGCTGAGTTACCTCGTCACTGCTGCTCCTTCCCCAAGGCCTGGCTTAGTCACATGGCCGCTTCTACCTGCCAGGGAAGCTGAGCAGTGTCATCCCTACTGGACGGCTGTGAATCCTGCCCAGACTCAGGGATGGTGGCGATCTTAGGCCATTCGGGCTGCTCTAACAAAATGGTCCAGACTGGGTGGCTTAAACAACAGAAATTTATTTCTCACAGTTCTGGAGGCTGGGAAGTCCAAGGTCAAGATGCCAATATAACTGCCTCTTCCTGGTTCATAACCAGCACCTTCTGACCGTGTCCTCACATGGTGCAAGGGGCTAGGGAGCTCTGTGGGGCTCTGCTATAAGGGAGTTGATCCCATTTATCAGGTCTCCTCCTCATGACCTCATCACTTCCCAAAGGCCCCACCACCTAATACCAGCACCTTTGAGGGCTAGCATTTCGACATACGAATTTTTGGAAGGACACATTCAGGCCATAGCAGGGGTTTTCATTCTCAAAGGAAAAGGGGAGAATGGATTCTGGGAACAGCAGTTTCTGCCACAGAAAGCTAGTGAGTGATAGAGCTGGGATAGGCCCTGGCAGGTTGCTACCTCCCCACCCTTCTGCTCAGCTTATCAGAGGAGAGGGCAGCGGGCCTGCCTTCCACCTGACCCGCTCCCCACCCACCAGGTGGACATCATGCAGATGTGCGTCGTGGAGCTGAAGGAGAGGCCTGGCCAGCCCCTCTTCCACCTGGAGCACTATATTGAGGGCAAGTACATCAAGTACAACTCCAACTCAGGTTTTGTCCGTGATGACAACATGCGCCTGACACCACAGGTGAGGCCCTCGTGGGGATGACGACCTGAAGGAGATTCTGTAACGGGCCACTTGTCAGCGACCTCAGGCCCCTGCCAAACTACACAGAGCCGCTTCCTCTGTCATTTCCTCTAAACAACCCCTCCCTGCAGAGAAGGCCCCCACTGTGAGCAGAGTCAGGGTGTCACCTCAGTGCAGTGGCTAGCCAGTTCAGGAGCCCGCAGTCTGGTCTCCTGCAGTCAGCTTTCTCTTCCCTCACAGGCCTTCAGCCACTTCACATTTGAGCGTTCCGGCCATCAGCTGATTGTGGTGGACATCCAGGGTGTGGGCGACCTCTACACCGACCCACAGATCCACACTGAGAAGGGCACGGACTTTGGAGATGGCAACCTGGGTAGGTGGAGGGAGCCAGCGTGTTTCCGTGGAGGTCCCTGACCCCAAACCTCCAAGCTCTTTGTACACCTGCGAAAACAGGCCGAGATAGTGAATCAGCCTTCCCAAGACTGAGATAGGAGCCTGGGACGTCTGCCCCCTGCCACTCCAGTGTGTTTTACTCCGGCCCCGCCACTGCCCCACTGTGTCGCAAAGCAATGTTCCAGATACCCCCCCCCCACTTTGCCCACAGGTGTCCGGGGGATGGCTCTCTTCTTCTATTCTCATGCCTGCAACCGGATTTGCAAGAGCATGGGCCTCGCTCCCTTCGACCTCTCGCCAAGAGAAAGGGATGCAGTGAATCAGAACACCAAGCTGCTGGTGGGTGCCCAGGGTGGGCTGCTTGGGGTGGCCAGGCCCTTATGCTTCCAGGACCAGCAAGCCGTGCTTCCCTGTGATGGCCACCCAAACCCTGCCATGCCTGACCAAGAGTCAGGGTCAGAGGGCTCTCAGTCCCATCTGTACTCCTTGTCCCTCCTCAATCAGTGCACAGGCCCTCCTGAGTGTCCCCACTAATAGAGTAACTGGGGTCTGCTTGATCTTGACCCATTTTTTACCAGAGTGAGGGGACTAGGTGTGTAGAGATGAGAGGTATGTGGTATGGTGGTATGTGTGTTTATGTGGTGTGTCAGCAGATGGATGGGCTAGATGCGGACCTGGCTCTTCAGGCACCTTGCTGTGCTCAGGATGTGCCCATCCCACCCCCAGCTCCACTACATGGACCAGATACAGAGATTGTTGGCAAATACTGGCTTGGAATCCTAGATCTATACGGGCATGTAGTCGCCAGCTCGGGGCTATAAAGTGTGGTTGGCACTTGGGGGAATGCTGGCTGGCAGGGCCTTTGAGCTCCTGTTCCATATGCTCCTTTTAGAGGCCTCGGGTTAAATCCCCACTGATTATTTTTAGATTCTCTGCCAGTCCCTGAACAGGCATGCATGGGAGCCTCTGGCTCAGAGAGCTTGGGGGCATCACAGGAAGAGCACTTCACCCCTCAGAGGGTGCCTGTTAATTCTTGTTAATTCTCCAGCAATCAGCCAAGACCATCTTGAGGGGGACAGAGGAAAAGTGTGGGAGCCCCCGAGTAAGGACCTTTTCTGGGAGCCGGCCCCCCCTGCTCCTACGCCTTTCAGAGAACTCTGGAGACGAGAACATGAGCGACGTGACCTCTGACTCTCTCCCCTCCTCCCCATCTTCAGCCACACCACACAGCCAGAAACTGGACCAACTCTGTGAGTAATGGTTTGGTTCCTGGTCACTGTGACTGGAGGGGACAGGCATCAGGTAACATGGTGAAACGGAACTAACTTGGCTCTCATTTATGTTAGAAAATTGGACATGCTAACCACAAAGATTCATGGCCCAGATGGTATTACGAGTGAGTTCTTTTTAATAAAGTTTTTAAGGCACATTTCGATGCTATAGAAACCTCCCCTATTGTAAAAAACAAGGTAACGTTTTTTAGTGTTTTATGAAACTAGTAAACCCCTTATACCAAAATTTGACAAAACAGTAAAAAAGAAACTATATCCCAACCTCACATGTAAATATGCAATGCAGCAATTCTATATAAGGCATTAACAAAAACCAGTAGAATATTAATGTCATAGACAAGTAGGTTGTTGCAGGAATATGAGGTTTGTTCAACATGAGGAAAGAGATTGCATGTGAATAGGTGGGAGGAGAAGCATGACATCATCCTCCCTGAAGCGGAAGTGACAGAATCTGCTGATGATGTGGACTCTGGGGTCTGCAGGAAAGAGGGGAGGCAGGGCTGACACCAACGTGGAGGTCTGAGGAATAGGACAGTGTGGCCATTTATTCAGCTGATGGAGGGGAGCAGGAGAAGAGGATTTTAACGTTAAAAGAAGCCTTTTAGACAACTCCATTGGAAGGCCTTGGGAACCATCTGGAGCAGGAGCAGACAAACTTTTTCTTAAAAGGCCAGACAGTAAATATTTTAGACTTTGCGGGCTATGTGGTCTTTACATTTGCAGCAGGAACACAGCCATAGACAATACTTAAGCAAATAGGTGTGGCTGTGTTCCAATAAAAGTCTGTTTATGGACATTGAATTTTAAATTTCATGGTTTTGTCACATCACAGAATAGTACTCTTTTGTTGTTTTTTTTCAACCATTTAAAAATGTAAAGTCTGTTCTGAAAAGTCATATAAAAAAGGAGACAAGCCAGATCTGGCTAGCAGGAGCTGGGGCAGGAGAGAGAGACTGGGAACTACCAGGAGATGGTTGGTTTTCAAGTCACCTGAGTCTCCCTTCACTTGTAGCTACTTGTTGGGTCCTGAATATACCAATGGCTTTTCCTCCTGCAAAACTGCACCTCGCTGACGTCTGGCCGTGGCCCAAGCCCATGTGCTTCAAGCACATTACACACACATATTTTTACTGTGACAATCCTGAGGAGGCACAGAGGTTCAGCCACTTGCTCAGGACCCCATAGCTGGCAAGTGGCAGGCTCTGAGCAAGTTTTCCAGGAAGAACTGTAGCCCTCTAGATGCTGACCATATTCTTCTCCCATTTTTGAACCTACCTTTAAAAATTTTTTTGAAAGGCGGGTGCAGTTAGCTCTAGAGTGTAGGTTTGTTTTGTAAACCATTCCAGCCATGGAGCCAGTGCGTTGTCTCCATTTTCTCCCTGCCTAGACTGGCCCGTGTTCAGCGACGATAACATGACACCCCAAGACCATGACCATCTGGACAACCATCGGGTGAGTGGAGAGGGGCCGAGGGAGCAGGGCTGGGAGGAGCGGACTCACTCCCAGTGGGGACGGAGGGTGAATCCTCCAGTTCAGAGAGGGGCAGCCCAGGTCTGCTCTGGGCTCTACCAGGAGGACATGGGGGCATACAGATGAATCAGCCTCCTGCCCAAGGCACAGGTTTCCCCTGCGAAGAGCTGGGTGCATTCCAGCTCCTGGACATAGTAAGAGAAGAGGGAATCCAGATCAGCAGCAGGGCAACCTTCTGGTGAATGCTGGGCCCAGCCCGGGGTGGTTTGGCCACATATGTGTGGTCAGCTGTCTTATGGGGAGGGGGCTGTGCTGAGTTTCGGACGTGTAATTTATGTCACAGTCAGCTGTCACGCTCTCAGGTTAGATAAACAGGACAGCTTTCCTGCAGCCTCTGGGTGACTCAGTGGTAAGAAACCAAAGGTATCATATTTGCATTCAGGCAAACATAAATTATGGTGTCAAATTAAAAACGCACAGGAATTTTTTTTTAAAGACTTGGCAGAAATGTCACACTTGTACAGACCACAAATGTACTGTAAGCTGCCCCCTCAGATTGCTCCAAAAGTTCAAATTCACTTTTGACTGCTTTGCTGGAGTGGAAGAACAAAATAAAAATAATTGACAACACATGGAATCATCACTATGGGTGGACATTGTTTTAAGGGCTTGATAGGTAGGCTTCATTTGATCCTCTCAATAACCTTTGAGATAGTTTTTTATTCCTTTTCTAGTAGATTTTATTCTCAAATTCAGATAAATTTTAAAATTTCAGATTAGGTCATGCATTCTCCTGGTTGGAAAGGTACAAAAAATTAGCATGGAGAAAATTTCCCTCTTTTACCGGCTTCTCTTCCCTAACAATAAACATGCTTGGGCAGTGTTCTCTTTATCCCTGATTCAGAGATAGGGACACTGTGGCACAGAAAGCCACTCACTCACAATCACTCCATGAAGGAGTCAGGATTCAAACCCAGGCCTCTGGCTTCAACCCTGCCCTCTGTTCTGCTGCCCTTTGCTTCTCTTCTCCACCTTGAAGTGAGTATTCCTCCCATTTCTCAGATGAGGAAAATGGGAGAAGTTGGCTGCCTCACCCAGGGTCTCAGAGCTGGGGCATGCACAGCTGGAGTTTGAGCCAGGCTCTCTGTCACTCAGCTTGGGGGTGAGTCCAGAGGGTGTGACGAGGAGCCCAAGGTCATGCGGTGGGTGGGGTGCAAACAGCAGGCTACCTGGAGCTCCAGGGTATGACTTGCAGTCACAGAGCTTGGATCTGAGCCCCAACAGTCTGGCTGCAGAGCCCAAGCTCTGTGCTGCTACTTTTATACTGCTCCCTTGTCACCCAGCCAGAGGGCAGGAGGAAGAGAACTTCAAGTGAGATGAGAGGACAAAAGAGAAAGCAAATGACTGGGAAGTCTAGAAATCACCACCACCAGGTACTCAAGAGGCCCACTGAGACTCTAGGGCCATCTTCTCTCCACAGGACTCTGAGAACAGTGGGGACAGCGGATACCCCAGTGAGAAGAGGGGTGAGCTGGATGATCCAGAGCTCCGAGAACACGTAAGGAACCCCCAGGAAACAAGACCAGAGTTTCCTGTTGCCTTGTCTTGGAGGGCAGAGAGGTCAGGGGAATGTGAGTGGGTCATGAATGCATAACAAGTAAATTAATGCATCAGATCATTTCAGATGAATGCAGGGCAGAAGGTAAAAGAGGGTGATGTGGACTAGTAAGTTTAGTAAGGGGACAAGTTTGGGCAATTAGACATGGCAACTCTTGGTGACGTTGGAACCTCGGGGATGCTGTGGAGCGGGTGGGGATGGAGCAGGTGTAGGTGGGAGGGCTGTCTCAGAAGCTCCCAACAGCACCCTGGAGGGTGTCAGCCATGTGGAGGTTGTGCCACATGCTGAAAGTTGAGTCTGGGCATCAAGGCCAGTCTTGCCAGGAGCCCTCTGCTCTCAGCTTTGTTCCTGGGAATAAAGACATGTGGTGGGAGCTTTGGCCAGAGGAAGGACTTGGTCCTTTTCTTGGCACTTGTCTGCTGGGATTCTTGCCTTTGAGGCAGTTCCATCCATGAGGGGAAGGCTGTGGCCACACCGCACGTGGGCCCTGCCTGTGACCCAGGATCCTCTCTGCTTGGCAGACAAGAGTTCCAGCTTCCCTGGGGGGCCTGGCCTGTCCCCTAGGAGGAGGGTCCCCTGGCAGGGGTGAGGGGGGTGCTGGACCAGCTCCCAGGAGGAGGTTCCCGGGAGGAAGGGCGGCTGTTTGGATCACTGCTCTCTGCCTCCACCAGGGCCACTCAAACGGCAGCCGGAGGTACGAGTCGGACGAGGACAGCCTGGGCAGCTCTGGACGGGTAATGCCCCCCGGGGAGTCCTTGTCGGGGCTGCGTGCCAGCCTTCTCCAGGCTGTTTCTGTGACTCCTTCCCCATGTCACTGCCTTCTGTCCAAGTGCCTCACACATCAACTAAAGGAGCTAATCCCCTTGGCAAATACTTCATGAGCCTCTGCCCTGGGCGGGACGCTGGGGGATCTGTGAAGAGGATGAATTACTTTACTGCTTGCAACCACCCAATGAGACAGGACTATGTTGTTCTTCCCTTTTTTAAGTATGAGAAAATGGGGGTCCTAAGCAACTTTTCCAAGGTTACTTGGCTAGTATTCCTAACAAACGTCTTAGGTGATCGTTACATCAGGCAGGTGTGGGAAAGAGCAGCCCTCAGGAACGCTATGCTCTTCTCTGGCTGATCCTGAAACACCCTTTAAACCTCTCAGCTTCCAACCTTTGCTAAGGCGAGTCTCTCTCCCCCCTGCAAGGTCCTTCCTTCCCCGGTGGTGCCTGCTCTCCCACACCGGACTCTGGGGGCACCTCTGGTGGGAGCCTTCCCTGAGCTCCCTGACCGCCGTGGCAGACCAGACTCTTGCCTCCTCCAGAACACAGATTATTTACCACACATTATTTTTTTACTACATGGTATTTTGGGTCAAGGTCTCAGCACCGTGTGGAGCAGGGTGTTCAACCATGACACCTTGAAATTTTGGGCTGGGTCCTTCTGTGTTGTGGAGGCTGCCTTAGGTATCAGGATGTTCAGTGCATACACACACACACACACACACACACACACACAGCTTCCTGGCTCTGTCTTTGGAGACCTTTGGACAAGAGTGTCTCTAGCTGGGAAATGTGATGTGTTTTCTAAACCCATTCCACAAAGCACCCTGTTGATCCACAGAGGAAAGCAAAGTGGATTTTCTGCAAGGTCTGTAGTCAGCTCTTCTGGCGCCTTGTAGGGGGAACTGGCAAAGGGGGTGACTTAAGGTCCAACCTCCCAACCAGACCCTGCCTGATAAATGAGAGGGAAGTGCTTCTTTGAAGTGCTGCAGTTATTCGGCTGGTCTTTGTGTCCTGGTGCTATAATAGTCCCTCGGCACCCGCAAGTGGGTGGAATTTGAGGGATTAGAAGTAGAGCCATGTTTGTCCAGGAAAATTTGACACCATAAGGGTCACTCCCCCCAGCTTGCCAGCCAGGCTTGTATATGGGAGCAGCTGGCAGTGGGTGCCAGCACCTCCCACTCCAGCCCCCGGCTTCCCTAGCCTGTAAGCTCCCACACCTGGTTCTCTCTCTTCAGGTCTGCGTGGAGAAATGGAATCTCTTCAACTCAGCACGCCTCCACCTGCCCAGGCCTTCTGCCGTGGCCTTGGAAGTGCAAAGGCTTAATGCTCTGGACCTTGAAAAGAAAATCGGGAAGTCCATTTTGGGGAAGGTATTGGTGATGACCTTTCAAGGCCCTCTGTGCTAACCCAGAGGCCCCAGCTCATGCCTCTCCTCCACTAACTGCTTCCTCTTGCAGGCTGGCTGGGCGGCTCTTGGGGGCAGCTTCAGCCTCCCAGACAGCCAGGCCAACACCGAACTCTGTGTGGCAGGTCCATCTGGCCATAGTGCGCTACCACGAGGGCGGGCGCTTCTGCAAGAAGGATGAGGAGTGGGACTGCGAGTCAGCCGTCTTCCATCTGGAGCACGCGGCCGACCTGGGCGAGCTGGAGGCCATCGTGGGCCTGGGACTCATGTACTCACAGCTGCCCCACCACATCCTGGCCGATGTCTCTCTGCAGGTGAGGGGTGGCAGGGACCTGGCCAAAGAGTCAGCCATCATCCTTTCCACCCACAGAAATTTCCTGAGCATTAATGTGGGGCCAGGCATGTCCGTGTTAGCTGAAACTGGGAGAATTGGTCCTTGCCGTTGGGGAACAAGTGGAAGTTGACAGTCAGGTTTCTAGGCAATTAGGACATGGTGTTATGGGAAAATAGAAGATATTGATGGAAACAAATGAGGAAGACCCTAAGTGGGGTTTCCAGAGGTCAGTGCAGTCTTCCTGATCATTGGTTCCAGCTGTGTCCCTAGTGGCTAGAACAGAGCCCGGCATGCAGTGGGTACTCAGTGCACACTGGCAGAATGGATGAATAAAGTAATATCTAAGTTAGACCTAAAGGCTGAATGCGAGTCAGCCAGGCAGTGCAGGAGGTAAGCAGTTCAGGCCAGGCCCAGACAGGATGGGGGAGGAGAGGACAGGACGCAGGTCAGTATGGCTAGAGTGTGGGGCATGTGGAGGCCATGAAGGCAAGGCTCACAGGTGGGCCAGGACCAGGTCTAATGCAGCGGGATGTGATGTGTTGGGAAATTGTGAGGATGTCTGCTCCTTTGCTTCCCTGGTCTGAGGGCACATGAGGAAAGGGCTGAGTGACTAGGACCTGGAAAGGCCCCCAGAGTGTGATCTTTCCCTTCGAGCAGCTGAGAGGCCCTTAGCTTTTGGTCTGTTCCCCGGGCATCTGTCACAGAGGCTGGCACAGAGAGGACACTGAGAAGGATTTGCTTGAGGCCTGAATAAAGGAATGCCAGGGCCCCCGGGGGCAGGGGAATCCCCCAGCTCTGAGACTCTCTGGTGACTCTCCTTGTGATCTCAGGCTGTTTACACTGGCCGCACCCTGGCAACTTTGTACAGGGATTTCAATGTGTTTTGGAGTCCTCATCTGCCAGTGTCCCGGAGTCCTTCCTCTCTGGGAGAGACACTGGCAGCTTCCCCTAGTGGGAGCGTGGTTGGATAACATGGTGGGGCTGGGACGGGCAGGCAGGGAGGAAGTGAGCTGTGCTTGAGCAGGCTTATGGCTCAGCAAAGGAAACGATGGCCCCGTGCCCTGGGAGGCCGCAGTGTGCTTTAGAAGACCCATCCCCGCTTTCTCCAGTGCCCCACGCTTCTTCACACCTTTGTTCTTCTTACTAAAATATTAATTCCTTCAGCATGTGCTTTTTGAGCATCTCCTATACTCTGGGCATAGGTTCCTGCTCTCACTGAGCAAACTTTTTAGGTGAGGAAGGATGTAGTATAGATAATAATTAACAAAAATACTTCTGACAAAATTAAAAATGACTAACCTCACTGAGCACTTCCTGTGCCAAACATTGTTCTAAAGTGCTGGGCTGGAGAGAAAATATGACAGGGAGTGTGACTGAAAGTGACTGGGTGGGCCTCTTGTATTAGGATGCCAGTTCCAAGGGAGGGGGCTGGCAGATGGAGTCTTCAGCTGAGCAGCCTTGTGCCAGCAAAAGCATGGTAGGGCAGAATGGCTGTGGGGGACAGCCGGTAGTCCCTGCCACACTTCTTGAAGCCTGAAGGTTGTGAAGGGCCCCATAGGCTGATAGGAGGCTTTGGATTTGTCTCTGAGTGAGGTAGGAAGCTAGTGGGCAGCTTTGAGAGAGTAATGTGACCTGACTTGGTTTTTAAAAGCATCTCTGTGGCCGCTGCTATGGGATGGATCTTGGGGGAACAGAACGGAAGCAAGTGGCCACATGCACTGTTGGTGGGAATGTACAATGGTGCAGCCACTGTGCAAAATCAGCTCCTCAAAAGGCTAAACACAGAGTTACACATGACCAGCAATTCCACTCTGGGGTATATACCCAAGAGAACAAAAATATACACCCACACAAAAACTTGTAACAAATGTTCATAGCAGCATTATTCATAATAGCCAAAAAGTGGAAACAGTCCAGACTTCCATCAGCCAATGAAAGGATAAATAATGTGGTATATCCATACAGCAGACTGTTACTTGGTCATAAAAAGAATGAAGGACTGACACAGGCTACAACATGGATGAGCCTCAAAAACTTTAAGTGAAAGAAGCCAGTTGCAACAGACCACATATTGTATGCTTGCATTTCTATAACATGTGCAGAATAGAGAAAGATCTAGAGACAGAAAGTAGATTGGTGATTGCTTAGAACTGGGATGGGGTGATTGGGAGGTGACAGTTAAGGGGTATGGGTGTTTCAGTTCCTTTTAGAGTTGATGAAAAAATTCTGAAATTTGTGTGATGGGTGACATTCTGTGACTACTAAAGACTACTGAATTGTGCGCTTTAAACATGTGAATTGGTTAGTGTGTGAATTATATCTCAATAAAGCTATTAATTTTTTTTTTAAAGAATGGAAGCAGGGAGCCCTTTTGGAGGCTGGAGATGATGTGGCTCTCTGGAGGGATCAGAGCAGGAGGAGGAGAGTGGGCAGGAGTGAGCTCAGCTTCCGTTTCTCCCCGCCTGATGGGAACTCCCACGGAGCTCCATGCCACAGGGCAGTAGGCCTGTTCTCCTCCTTCTGGTGTGCATTTCTACAGCAGCCCCAGCCCAGAGCTCTCAAAACAATACAAGAAATGGGGAGAAGAGGGATGAGTGAGATCCCAGCAGCCCCTCCAGTACGATTTATTCCCTTTTTTCTCCCCCTCTTGGTTTGTATTGACAGGACACAGAAGAGAATAAGACCAAAGGGTTTGATTACTTACTGAAGGCAGCTGAAGCTGGTGACAGACAGTCCATGATCCTGGTGGCCCGAGCTTTTGACACTGGCCAGAACCTCAGCCCAGACAGGTACTGTGGCTGTCGCTCAGACGGAGCAGGTGGGAACTTGGGCTGCAGGTGGGAGCTTCCCCAGCAGTGTCAGCACAGCCCTGGGCTCTGGGCTCGGCTTCCCAGCCGCCGCTGTAGGCCACCACCATAGACAAGTATTTTGCCTCCCTGGTCTCAGTTTCTTCATTATGTAGCATGAGAATAACTGTTGAACCTGCATCCTAGCCTAGGGTGTTTGTGTGAGGGTGAAGTGAGATGGTGCCTGTAACCCTTGCTGTGCCTGGCATATAAAGTGCAAAGTAAGTGGTGGGCCTTTTAAACATTACATGTAAAGATCTGAATGAGAAAAAGTCTGCAAGGATATACAGCACCAGGTCCAGAGTGGTTGCCCCTAGATGCTAGGATTATGGGTGATTTTCATTTAACTCTTCCCACTTTTATTTTTATGATTTTTCACTTCTGAGAGTAGGGGAGGGAAGGCAGCAAGCTCCAGGGGTGAGTATAGGCTCGCGTGAGTTTTCCAGAGTGGACTTGAGGCTCAAAGGCTACGATTCTGCAGGTGCCAGCACTTCCTTGGTTATCCCACAAGCAGGCAGGTCAGGCCTGCTTTCTGCAGTGGGACAAGGGGAATGCAGCCCGTCTTCTTGGCTTGGCCAGTGAGAAGTCCGAGAAATCCAGGAGCAGAGGTCGGTCGGGGGGAACTGAACTTGTAATGGGACCCAGTGCTCACCCTTGGTGGCTCCCATTGGATCCTGGCTCCACCCTACTGTCCTCAGGGCTGTGTGCTTTCTGCCTGTGGCTTTCTAGATGGGAGCAGGGTAGGCACGTTCATCATCTAAACCTCCAGGGCCTCCTGGCAGCTCCTGGCCTTTTGGGTCAAGGTCTCATCTCCCTCTTGCTGGGTTTAGAAGGAGGGAAATCGGAAGGAGGGAAAGCAGGATGGTGGCTCTGTCATACCAAGCTCTTGGGGTCTAAAACGTCTGGATACACGACATGCTTCCCATATGACATATTGTGCATCCAAAAGTATGTCACATACTTAAAGCATAACAGTGATGCCCCATTATATTTGGACCACACTTTCAGATCTGTGGTTTTATTTTGCTGAGAACAAGGATCGGATCTCCTGCAACTCTTTAGTCCCAGTGCTTAGCACAGGGCCTGGCTCAATAGTTGTTTGAATGAATGAACCAACATATCTCTTTGACACGGACAGGGCAGGTATTTTCATCCCCAATTTATAGCTGAGTAAGCTGTAGTTCTGAGAAGTGAAAGGACTTGCCTATGGTCAGATTGCTAGTAAGTGGCAGAGCCAAAGCTTAGGTGTTTTCACCTGTCCTCCAGTGACTATCTACTGCCTGCTTCTTAGTGGGCTCAGAACTATACTGCATGGAGGGGAGGTAAACACAAAAAACATATCACTGTCACATCAAATGCCAGCATCTGTGGTACCTACTGACTGCAGTGGAGAACGCAGCATGGTGGGGGGTGCTGGCCTGGCCATTGGCTATATGTATTAAGGTCCTTAAGAAATCTTTACTCCATGTGTTTTCTGTTTGTGTTGTCTACTTTTTATTTGAGGTGATAGTTTTTTATTGTTGATTTGTAAATTTTTTTATATATTAGGGCTATTAACTCTAGCATGTGCTTCTCTTTAAAAAACCTTTTTTTCAGACATGGTTATCATAGATGTGCATGGTGAGGGGATGGCACATTGCCACACAGTGACCATTGTTTATTGGGTTTGGGGACACACTGGTTTTTAATATTTACATAGTTAAAATCTGTCAAAATTCTCCTTTGTAGCTTGTGCTGTAGACATTTTCTTATTCTTCCTCTTTGCAAACAGCTCTAGCCTCTTCCATTCAAGGAGTGTTAATTAAGGGCCAGCTATGGGTAGGGCCCAAATTTGCATTTAAAGGGTTGTGACCCTCTCAGAAGTTACCATCCAGTAGGAGAAGGAAAAGTCATCGGAAATTCCAAGGCAGAGTAGGCATCCTGACCCCTGGGTGTGGAGTCAGGTGGGGGTAGGCAGGGGAGATTAGGCCCTTTCCCCTCTCTCCCATTTAATGCTTTTGGGGGCAGTTCTGCTTTGCCCTTCTTGACTAGAGAGGGACAGAGCTGAAAAGATGTGAGATCATCTAGTTTAGTGGTTTCCAGTCCACTGTTAAAACCCTAGTTTGTTGCCTATGTCAACAGTAATTATCAAATGATTTCCCTTTTTTATAAAATAAAATGGAGTCAAGGTTATCTCCTGAACACTATCCCAACCAGCCACTTGTTGACATTTATTCATTCAGCAAACATTCAGGGAGGCTGTGCCATTTGCCAAGCCCTGGGGATGCAGCAGTGAATGAAACAGACAAGGTCCCCGTCTGCTGGGGACTTATGTCCTAGTTGGAGGAAACCATAATAAACAAGCAAATACATAAACAAGAGAATTACAGATTGAGGTAAATGTAGGAGATAGGGTGTTTGGGGACAGCATCTCTGAAGAGGTGACCTAGCTGAGGTGGGAGGGTTGAGAGGCCAGGTGTGGAAGGAGTAGGGGGAAGAACGTTCCAAGAAGAGGGAGCAGCAGGTACAAAGGTCAAGGAACTGGTATGTTTTGGGACTAGAGAGTGGTCCACCCAGTCTGGCATAGGGAGAGGTTAACAGGAGCTAAAATGGGGGTTGGAGCCGCAGTGGTCAGAGGAGAGAACAGCAAGTTACAGCTTTGCTCCTGGAACATTTCATGAGACCGATAGACCTTCTTATCTTGCTCTTTGCTAATGTGGTATAAATAGTTACTCACAAGCTCAGTAGACGCAGTTAGTACACCTCAAGACAAAGAGCCTGCTGCCCTGTTTGCTGTGTATTTTGTGTTGTTGAGATTCGGTTGGAATCTGGAAGTGCCCTTGGTGGTGTGGCTTTTCCTGTGCTGGAGTAAGAGAGAGTTCAGGGTCAAGGGACAGAGGCAGAAGAGGAAAGTAGCTACTCTGGGGAGGAAAGCCAGAGCTGGCCAGCACAGGCAGAGCATATAGTGGGGTTGAATGAGTGCTGTTAGCTCAGATGGTTCTAGAGGTCTGGGCAAAGGGTCCTCTGCACACTTCTCCCATCCAAGTCATACGGTAGAATGGTGGGGACACCAGCCATTGCAGTGCTAGCCCATAGGGTGATTTTGTGCAGATTAGAAAAATGGTCCCCTTCCTCAAGATGCCTTACTTCCATATGTTGGAAAATTATTGTAATATACCGATTTTGTCAGAGAAAGTTACCTGACTGCTGTCTTAATAAATAGCTAAATGTACAGCATGAATAACACCCCTTAGATGTGGTAGCATTGGGTACTGTTAATGGTGAATCATAGGTTGTGACCTGACTTACCCTTCCCTCGGAGGGGCCCCTTTCCTCTGGCCCTGCTGCCACGGTAACTTCCCTCTTTTCCTCTCTATCCCCTGGCAAGGTCCCGAAACTGGCCAGAGGCTCTGCACTGGTACAACACTGCCCTGGAGACAACAGACTGTGATGAGGGCGGTGAGTATGACGGGATGCAGGATGAGCCCCGGTACACGCTGCTGGCCAGGGAGGCCGACATGCTGTTCACAGGCGGCTGCGGGCTGGAGAAGGACCCGCAGAGATCAGGTAGGGCCTGGTGGACCTGCCCCGGGGGTGGGGCAGGGCTGGGAAGAGAGGAGACATAGTTGCTGTCCTGGTGGAAATTATGGCAAGATGCAAGGCTGAGTCTCTTCTTTCAGTTCTGGCAGGGAGAAGGAATCATCCTTCTCTCTGTTTTGCCAGGCTGGCTGCCCTTATGCTGCTGTTGGTTTAGAGAGGGCTCTATGAAGCTGGAGTGCAGATGAACTTTTTTTTTAATGTTTATGTGTAGGGCTTTGGGGTTTTTCTTTTTTTTTAATTTAAAAAATTGAGCTGACATTTTCATTACATAAAATTTACTATTTTGAAGTGCACAGTTGTGTGATTTTTAGTATACTCACAATGCTGTGCAACCATCACCACTTTCAAACTCCAGAATGTTTCCATCACTCCAAAAGGAAACCAGGTACCTGTTAGCAGTGACTCCCTTTTCCCCGCTCCATGCTAGCAACCACTAACCTACCTTCTGTATGAATTTACCGATTTTGGATGTTTTGTATGAATGGAATCATACGATGTGTGGCCTTTTGTGTCTGGCTTCCTTCAATTAGTGTATTTCCAAGGTTCCTCCATGTTGTAGCATGCGTCAGTACTTCATTCCTTTTGATGGCCAAATAGTATTCTATTATATGGATAGACTAGACTACATTTTCTTTATCCATTCATCAGTTGCACAAATTTTATATATATATATATTTTTTTCCCCCTGTTACATAATAAACATACCGAACTCCTGATTTCGCAAGTATAGGATGGAATGAGACTAAGTTTAAAAGTTTTTTTTTAAGGTTTTATTTAAAAAATTAAGCAAATAATACTGCAAATCTATAATCCCTTCTTTGAAATTTCCAAATCCAAAAAGCACTGAACGAGTGTTTTGATACGTTTCTCACACATGCATTTAATGGCAGAACCTGTCCACAACTGCCACAGGGCTATTTCTAATCTTTATTTCTTCTACTTTATTTCTTCCTCTTTCATTCATTCCTCAATTAGGCATATAAAAGTCCTCAGCCTCATGTTCATTGGCTCAAATGGAATCACCCACCCTCCTCTAAACCAATTACTGTGCACCTTGGGGGATGGCTTACATTTGGCTGACCCGCAGTCTGGACCAGTCCCTGCGGCCTGGTGGGGGATGGGGAGACTGCTTTGAAGGCATGTGATTTTCACATGCCCACCCAGGTCCCCACCCAGGTCACTTGCAGGGAGAGGGGATGAGTCCTTAAAGAAATCCCAGGATGCTGTTCCCAGGGCAGATAGAACAGGGCTGGCAGAAACAACGGGTGGATCACCCCTTTGTGCCCCACTTTGCTCTTTTTCAGGCGACCTGTACACCCAGGCGGCTGAGGCAGCGATGGAAGCTATGAAGGGCCGACTGGCCAACCAGTACTACCAGCAGGCGGAGGAGGCCTGGGCCCAGATGGAGGAGTGACTGGCTGGGGAAGTCCTGCCGACCAGTCCCAGGAAGAGACAACCGAGGCTGACTTAGGGTTTTTTGGGAGGGAAGGGGCAATATTTTTAGTGTGTTGTAAATCAACTTTTGTATTTCATTTTTGACTCTTGAAAATGTCTTTGCTTCCAGCAGAGATGCTATAGCTGCCCCCTAGGGCAGCCTTTTAGGGGAGTGGGGATTGAAAAAGCAGCCTAATGAACCAACATATTATTTTGAGGTTTTGTTTTGTTTTGTTTTTGTCATGAGATTTAAGAAAGTACTTTTCTGCCTTGGATAGAAAATATTAGGGTTTTGCTCACCAGCCTTTTCAGGCTGTGTTTTCTGAGTTGGAATGGGGAACATAGAGGTGCGCATTGAGTTTCCATGTAGTATGTGTTCTCACTACTTAGTGCAAAGCCTTCTTTCTCAGAGCGTTTGGGAGCGTGCATGATAATCGTTTCCTGGATGTGAGATTGTACAATGCAGTAGGCCCTGTTCTGCCAGCAGGGGGGCCTGCCCAGGGATTTTCTTCTTAATCTTTTAACTTCCTTCCCAAAATGCAATAGATTTTCTGGAATACAGCCAAATCCTGTTTTTAAGAATGCTTTCTACAGTGTGCTTGCAAAACAGGTTTGGGTTTTGTATACACACATGTAATACCTCTAACTCTTCCATCAGCGCATGTGGAAATGGGTGTGCCTTGAAATTCTTACATATAAGAACAGTGGCTTGGACTGTTGGAGCTTTCCTCCAAGTGGACACATACTCTGCATCTCAGTGGCAGCATCCACAATGTGACTGACGTGCCCCCTTGTACAGTATTCCTCCATGTTTTCTGGGTATCTGAGGCTGTGATGTAGAATCTGCCCCCAAGCGCCTGGCCTGGGCATTCACTGCTTGAAGCTAGGCTGATTTTCTTGTCATATGCAGTACATGCTTTTAGCAGCAGCCCCTGGAGATTTATCTAAATGTTTGAGAATGAGAGGGCAGGAACTGTAAACACTCATTCATTCTTGTTGTCTCCCCAGGGCTGTGGCTATCTGCATTTAATGAGCTTTTCCCTGAAAAGAAATTGAGATTTAATATCCATATAATTTCAGTGGTGTTTCAAATAGCAAAGAAAACAGACTGCTTTGAGCAACCCCAAGCTTTTTCTTCAAAAATCAAAACTCAAAAAAGAAGTAGGGTGTAGCTCACAAACCATTCTTAGCTATTCATTCAACAGGTCCTTCAGCACTTTAGTGTTGAGAGTTGCGGGGGGCATGAATTTTGGCAAGTGTGAGGTTCCAAAGTTCAGAGTGTGCCCTGTGGGGAAAGCAGGATTTGAAAATTACCCTGGAAAAATCCCTTAGAACACCTGTAAATGACAGTATCCTTTTTTTTGTATATGAACTCATCACAGTCAGTTTCCCTTAGAAATTGGATCTGATCACTTTTTTAAAATCTGCACCACATCAGGTAATTGGCTTGAGTTAATGTTTTTTGTTTGTGTTTTAGGCTGGTGCATATAGTTGAATAGCACATATTAAATGTAAGTTAGAAGCAACTTTATTGTGACTTACCTCTTCAAAGGAATCAAGCCTCATATAATTCATGCTGTTTTGTTTTTAATTCCTTTCTCTCTGAGACTTTATTATACAAATAATTTATGTTCCCTGACCACCTGTCTCATTTCTTTTCTCTAACAGAGATCAGCACCATTTTTGTAAAGGGCCAGATAATAAATATTTCAGGCTTCACCAGCCGTATAGTCTCTGTTGCAACTACTAGCCTTGCTGCTGTAGTGCAGAAACACCCGAGAACAATACCTAAATGAGTATACATGGCTGTTCCAATAAAACTTTATTTACAGAAGCAGCCTACCTGGGCTGTTGTTAGCTGACCCTTGCTCTATCCCTTGACTGAAAGCTACTATACTGGGCTCTGAGGGCCAGAGCTATATCAGGTTTTCAGCCTCCAGTGCTCAAAACCACAGTGCCTTGGCACAGAATAGGCACTCAGTAAGTGAACAAATGGAGAGCCGGCATAGTCACAGCGCTCTGTCCTCGTGGCTCTGGTTCCTCCAAAACCAGTTAATGATTTGTTGCCTGGTTTGACTTGAACCATCACCCCCACAATTCCACCCACCCACCTACATGGCCTTAACTCAGCTGGCCTTCTCTCTCCTTGAGAGGACTGTGATGGCTTAGGTGTGTAGCTAAGCAAATGCTTCTTTCAGGACCAGAGTAGAATAACCTGCAAGATGTCATGATCCTTCTGAGCCACCAGAGGAACGTATTCCACCTTCAAAACCTAGTTTTGTGCCCTCCGAAACTGGTTAGGGCATCTCCGTTTTGTACAAATACTGGTATGCAAACAAAACAAAACAATAACAATAAGAAAAAACACCCCAGGATGCCCCAGTCCAATTGGCAAGACACCAGAGTGTCTTCAAGTGCATGCAGCAGGTGAAGGTCCAGGAGATGAGCAGAGTCAGGGTTATAGTCCATACCTTCCATCATAGCTGGAGGAACCAAGGTTCTGAAAGGCAGACTGTCACAGTGACACTGCTGGTTAGTGACGAAGCTGGAGCCAGGCTGACAGCTGCTGCTGCTGAGAAGATCTGGGAATAGGATTCAAAGTTAAACTGGAGTGTAATGTCCCTTTCAGGTTTGCTATAGGGGGAAAAAAAAGGCAGGTTTTATGAATGTAAAAAGGAAAAAAAAAAACCAACTCCCTTGTGTCTGAATGTCCCTGTTCCCTCCTCTTCACCTGAGGCTATGGGAATTCATCAAATGCAACCTTGGTGAACCAAGCCAGGTTAACTACCCTTGTTGCTAACTCAGTGACTTCATTTCCTTTCATCCCAACACATTTGTCTGCAGTATTAGACATGTTTTACAAATCAGTGAATGTTTACACAAGTATATGCAGCTCGTGTGGGGGAAGGAGACAATATATGCATATTCTCTGCATGGATTTCTGCCAGCTACTCTTGTTTCTAGTCTCTGAGGTAACCAGTTAACCTAGACAAGGTGGGACCCAGAGAAATGTTTTGCATTATAGATTTATTTTTGTATATGTACTGAGTTCTATTTCCTCAGTCCAAATTAAGTGGTTTCTGTCTTTCTGCTCTGAAATTCAAATATCTCCTGGTAAATAAATGAAGTAGCTGGCTGGAGGCAGAGGTGAACTGGAGGGCTCAGACCCCATCGGGAAGAGGCAGCCATGATTCAGCTCCCAATGATTGTTGCCAGGGGAAGTGTGGGCCCAATGTTGCCTCATTTTCCAATTTTTCAAGAGCTGCTAAAGATTAGATTTGTTAATACAAAGTCTCTTGATTTTCCTAATAAATTCTGATTTTAAGAAAGCCAGATTTGGCCTGTATGCTGTCCATTTGCTTTAGATAAAGTATAGGAGCCTCTCTTTGTGCTTGATTTTTCTCCTTTATGAAACAGCATGATCTTTACCATTAGAGTTGTCATCAACTTCAAAGAAGATAATGCATGTTAAAGATGCTTTATGATCCAAAGCTTCAGGAAATCTTGGTTACAGCGTGATCATTTGGTTTCAAGCTAATGGTTTTTTAATTTTAAAAAATTTGAACATTAGCATAAATGCATTATAGATGGAACACACATATTTAGGTCCATGTGCTCCTGCGTCCCCACTAAAATGACAGGAAAGAAATTTTCTTAATGGTGTAAGTCAACAAGGATGAAGCAGAAGCGGTATAACAGCAACAATATTTGGATGCTGGAAAGCAGATGGACTATACTGGAACTAGCAGACCAAGAAGACTGGATACTAGGTCTGCAGTGGCAAAATCTGAGAACCCAGTTTTCATAAAGAACCCGTAGAAGGCTGAGGAATTGACACCAGGAACCTCTGGAAGGGAAAATGAAATAGGGCTAAAAATGCAGGGTCAGTTGGGAAGTATCAGGCTACTAGGCCCACTCACCTCCCCTGTGTAGCCAGCCAGCTGCCTCTCCCATCACCCTTCAGAAGCCTGGGGCACCATACACAGTAGACAGTAGCCCTTCTCTTGCAAGGAGGATTAAGTTAAAACGTCTATTGGATGTAGAGGCTCCACCAGCCTTCTTTTTACTCAATGCTCCCAGGCACTGGTAGCCTGACCTTGACCCTTCTGGCAGAAGGTAAACAATTGGAGAAATCTCTAAGGTATCTGAGATGAAAGACTTAAAAAAATACTCTCATAATGAAACAGGCTGGCCAGAGTCATAGGAAACGCTTCAGCCACCAAGCCCCACAACATCTACAGAAATTCCCAAACAGTTAAAGCCCCATTCTTAAACTTGAACACCTGGCCAAAGAGCCTTCTGTAAGGAAAGTATTTCATATACAAGACGTTGAAACAAATCAACAGAAGAAAGTATCTTGGAGGAAACAATATGCAAGGGGAAGAAAATGAAAAGCTGTCAATTTCTTTAGATAAAATACATCTGCAAAAAGAACAGAAAGATGGAATTCTAAAAATATACACAGCAAAAGAGCTCTTGTATATTGAATCTACCCTTAACAAGTGAGTAACTTAATAGTTAAAATTTAATACCTTACATTTTAATTTAAGTGTTAATGTGTAAGAATAGAAATAGGTTAGCATAAGCATAGCCATCTTAAAGGCCTAGAAGCCATTTTCTGAGTATGTGACTTAGAAAGAAAAACTGGAACTGGGTAAGGCCTTGAAAAACAAGTTAATCATGAGCACCGGGTGGTGGGCAGCTGTGACCCTTGGTCAGCTAACCTTGGTCAGTAAATCTTACATACCAAGCTTATCGTGCAGAACCTCCCTAACCATTGAGGAGTAGTCTTACCCTGCCCTTGCTTAACCCCAGGATATATGTCTTGCAAGAATAATGTATAGTTATAGAAAATTGCTATGAGTTAAGTGCTTTGAAATTGCTATATAAACCCTTGGCTCTGAGTGCTCGGGGTCCTTGTTGAGACCCGCTGCATCAGGCTGACTTGGACCCCAACTAGTTGGCTGAATAAAGACTTTGCTTGAATTTACATCTCTATGCCTGTGTAGTTTGTTCTCTGGGGAAGCCTCGGAAGCCTGCACCCTAACATTTGGGGGCTCGTCCGGGATTCGAGCGGCTTCCCTGAGAACAAAGGACAGCTGGAGGCAAGGTCTAATTGTCCGGACGGGGCAGTGTAATTCGAGGGTCGCCCCCTCGTGTCTGCATAAATCCATTATAAAGCGGGAGTCGCCATCCCGTGTATGGTCTCGGGTTAGTGGTCCCGAGTGAGGAAGTCCGGGCTGGTAGTCCCGGCCCCCAGGTTAGCGACCCTGGGTAAAAGCCCAGGTAACCAATCCTGGCCCTAGGGTCCGAGTGACTCGGCCTTAGGAAGGCAAATCCGATCGGCAGAAAACTGGCGCCCGAGGAGGAAAAGATCGAGCTCGTCACCCTGCGGCAGTCCGAGTGGACGCCCTTCAGGAGAATTACGAGAGTTTTTGAAGACCCTGAAAGTGGTGAGTGTGGTGCGCACCAGAGTGAGAGAAGGACCGGTCCGAACGAGTGCGATCAGATGTGGTGTGTGTGTGCTTAGTGTTATCATTGACTGTTTTACTGTGTTTTGGTTTCGGTTTATATTTTTTTGCGCTTCTCATTTTAAGTTTCCTTGTTCTAAGGTTCTCCTGCTCTCTCCGTTCCTCCTTTCTGCCACTACATCATTCCCCGCGGGCACGGGTCGGGCAATTAAGAGCCATTAGGGCGCCCGCCGCTAGAAGACTCCCGTGACAGGATAAGGGGGTCACAGCCGCGAATCCCAGATAAATTCGCGTCCCCCATGGAAGGAAAACTGTGCAACGACAGGCACTCGTTCACAAGCACATACAACAGTCATTTTGTTTGAAGTGGCATCTTCATCCTTCGCCTTTGTCTCCCTCATATTCTTTTTCCTTCTTTCTCACCATGAGACAGACTCAGACGACCCCCTAAGTGTGTAAATGAATATATCTTTCTACCTCCGGATGGTATTAATGAAATTGATTTAAAGACAAGCGCTTGTGAAAATTGGGTATTCTAAAACTTCCAGAAAACCTGATAAAAAGTGTTAAGCATTAATGCTAATTTGAGTTTGCCTGAGGCGGGCATGTCCTTGTAGTTATCAGCTGCCTAAATTTACCTGAGGTCATTTAAGTCATGTTATCTGCTAAATCTTTTAAAAATAAAATGCTTAAAGGCTTGGCTTTGTCTAATATTCAGTAAAGGTCTTGTAAGTAATCTAGAATAGTTGTTACGAATGAGTGAACTAAATGACTGAAGCAAGTGAACCTCTTTTTAATTGTGTGTTACAGTGTGTATACCTACCTACTGCCTGAGAATCTTTGTAGAAACCTAAAACCTTAAAGTTTTGCTAAGTTAAGAAGATATACTCTATGAGAGATTGTGCTGTAAAGCTCATGGTTACAGAAATTATAAAATGTGTTCATAAATTTGTCAATCTAAAGAATGTTAGTTTAACAGTTTACAATGGCCTGCTTCTCGGTGTTCACTGGAAATTAAAGTTTCTAATGGTTTTAAGTTTTAATTAAAACTACTTAAAGTAATAAAACATTTCTCTATGCTAAAAAATGTATGTTTTAATAAGAAAAAGTATAAAGAATGAAAAGTCTTCTGCATGCTAAAGAATGTGTTTTGTGATAAAGAAAGTAACTTTGTTCTAAAGTACAGCTATTTGTTTAAAGAGAGAAAACAGCGTGGTGCCTTTTGTTGTAGAAGACCCGCTCAGCCTGTTGCTTTGGGGGGGAGGGTCAGGATGTTTAGAGATTAAGTGAGATAAACCCAGTCAAGCCGCAGGCAAGCCCAGGCTAATTCTCACCGGCTTATGTGCTTGGGACCATGGGGCAAATGAAGAATAAATTACTATATTCTTACAGATATAGTCGTGCCTAGTGAAATTAAAGCAAGTGAGTCTTGATATCAAGTGCACAGCAAAATTAGAATCTCGTTTCCAGTTAAACAGTTTTCTTTAACTGTTAGTCTGCTCTTAATGTTGAAAGATCAAAGCAGTTTCTCATGCTTAAAGTCTCAGTGAGTTGCCAGAATATTTAAAAAAAAAAAAAATGAAATCGTAATATTAAAAAGACGAAAAGCTAAAGTTTGTTAACAACTGTATAAGCTTTATTTGCCTTTGAAATATTTTGTTATTGAAAACGATTGCATGGCCTGAGAAATTGAATTATTTATTCCATATATTTTTATAAGTGGAAAAATCTCTAACCAACAAATGATTAAAGTTGTTACTGATTATTTGTTTTCTTAATTTATCCACCTAAGCAGAATGGTAACAAAGCTTTTTTCAGCTGATTAAATGCACTTAGTTAACAAACCAAAATTTATTCTTAAAAATTAAACTAGAATCTAGACAAGATTATGTTTCTCCCAGAAAAACAAGTTTCACTGTAAAAGTTTAAATGGACAAACGTGTGACCACTTTTGAGAAAGGTTGTAATAGATTTTTTTGACAACCACCAGGTCTTCTTGTTTAATTTATATGCTGTATGTTTTAAAAAAAAAAAAACATGGGGGATGAAAGGAAAGGAGCGACACATAGCAGCAATTAACCGGAGAGTTCCGCTTTATTAGGGAAAGGTGCTAGGTTATATAGGAAGGGGCATGAATTGATTGAGGTGTCACTTCTACGGAGCTGGTGGCTGTTGGCTAGGTGCTGGGATTGGGAGGGGAGCGAGAGGTGATTGGGCTTCAGGTGGCGCCGGCGGAAACCAAGGACCCCCGAAGAGAAGCCGGAAGTTTGCCATCTTACTAGTAGTAGTCCTTCAGAGGACTCTTCATATTTTTTTAATGCAAATGATCTTAGAGCTTTTAATAGAATTTGCATAGCAGCTTATATCTACTATTAAAGAGTAAAACATTCTTGAAGCTTTCAGAGAAGACCTGTAGACTTAAGCACTTTCTCTGCTTTTTTTGTATCTGGTCTTGGACACTTATGCTAAGTTCAAAAAAAAGTGCTTTTACCTCTAGTTAACTCTGATATTTTCCAGAGGGCCCCTGGAACATGTCAGAAGAATTTTTTCTCATTAGAGAAAGTATTTGACTAATTTGGCTTATTTATCTGATATATATTTATTTATTTACCAGGAAAGCACTGTCAAAGAGAATGATGCTAAACTTTGTTACTAAATGTTTTGTATTACAGAAATATCAGAATTTCCTTATGTCAACTGTCTTACAGTAAGCTCTCATCAGATCTTTAACCATTGTCATTTGTAAGTCTTTTGTCATTTATAGTATTATCCCTAAACTGGTAAAGAACTAGATTTCAGCAGAACAGGTATTAGTTACATAAGATTACATAAACTAAAGAAAATGATTTTGTGTCTTTTTGT